AATCTCTATCTGGGTGAATCCAATATGAGATTTTTTAAGTGATGTGTGCTCATCCAGGAGGACAAATTATACACAACTCCTGCAGGCTCTTTTAAGAATTTTCATGTTTTGAATCTGACTGCCACATTACATTAGGAAAAGAACACATGGCACATAATAATAGGCTTGGTGAAAATCTCCTCTCCATGGAAACCTGATAGGGTTATCTTTAAGTATCAATAATTGGGTGGCTTACACAACAGAAATGTGCTTTCTCGCAGTTCTGAAAGCTAGCGGTCCAAAGTCACAGGATCAGGAAAGTTGATTCCTTCCGAGGATTATGAGAATCTGCTCCAGGTCTCTCACCTAGGGTTGCTGGCAATCTTTGGCGTTCCTTGGCTTGCAGAAGCATAATCCCAAGCTCTGCCTTAACCTTCACAGGGTATTCTCCCTGTGTGCATGTTGTGTCCAAATTTCCTGTTTTTATAAAGGTATATGGGATTAAGATCTACCCTAATAACCTCATCTTTACTAATTATATCTACTATGGCCCTATTTCTAAGTAAGGATACATTAAGGTGTATGGAGGCTTAGGACTTCCATCTATGAATTTTAGGGGAAACAATTCAAGCCATAGAAGCCATTTATCATATGATATGAAGTTCGACAACTTCCAACCACTACAACCATATTTGGATAACTGCTGAATCTCCTGTGCCTAAAACAGAACCTGGTACACAGGAGGAGTTCAATAAATATTTGTTGAATGAATGAGTGAATAAATGAATGAGACTGCAAGTAATGGGAAAACGCTGTGGATGTTAAAAGGTTGGCCAAGCTAAATCATTAGCTAATGCCTTCCTGCATGGAATTTAGCAAGAATTAAGATTGGGTCTTGGCAAAATTACAAAATACTGTATACTCCATGAACCTCCTAAAAGTCACTCACAAATAGTAAAAATCACAAGTGTTAAAAGTCACTAATGTCAAAACCCACAAAATCCAGCAACTTTTAAATAATTATCTCTTTCTTAAGGGAAAAATAATAAAGTATCAAAACTAGGGTAGCAAATGATTTCTGTTTAAATTTAAGCCAAGGAATGCATTATTAGTGAGATTAAAGGCTCCAAATGAAACAATACCAGACACACATTAGAACATGGTCTACAGGCAACCCATTGCTCTAGCACTAAATCAGAGGTGATTCCTTGTTATAATTCTTGTGTTATTTTAATAACTAATTTGAATAAGGTCCAAGACAAATTGTACTCTATAGCAAACTGGGTATAACAAGCTTCTATTCTTTTTACAGTAACACTTTGCAACATAGCGTCTCAATAGATAATACCTACATAACAAGAAATTGAAGGCATTCTTCCCTATTCCTCCTAATAATCTCATTCAAGTCATATCACTATGAATTGCCTGGGTACTTGGCTTTAAAATATTGTATTACTATAAACTTAAAATTCAAGCTCTGGATAGGTCTACATTCATTTCAGCAGAAGCATCTTGAAATGCTGAATTATCATCTTCAATTTTCTTCAGTCATTTATTGCAGCTGCCAAACTGAAACGGTACACCTTAAAGGCAACACTAAACTGAAAAGCAAATAAAAAAAGAGACTCTTAAATGTTTCATTTATAAAAGCCTATTTTCTTCACCACCAAATTTTGTATACTGTCTGAAATATATTGCTTTACAAAACTGACATCTTGCATAGTTATTCTGCTATGATAGATTTGCTAAACTTCAAGGCTTGGGGTGGGAAGAGTAAAACTAGCATTTAGTTTCAACCTTTTAAGAACAGATGACCAGCACAGAGGTAGTTGGTTTAGGTTTCTAGCTGGGCAGGGAGTGGGGAGACATAAAGTTAAAAATTAAACCTCACTTGCCCATAGCTATCACTACAGCTCTCTCTTTTCAGAACACCTTACTAATCTTTCTGGTTGTGTTAAAAATTATGCCATAATCTCAGACTTCTTGAGGGAATAATAAAAAGTTATGCCATAAATAAGCACTTTAAAAAGGCACATCAAGTCAGAGGGTGGCTATTCCAAAGAGTAGTCTATGGCTGTAAGCCCACTTTGATAGGAAAATGAATCTGCAAACCAAATAAACATTCAAACCATCTTCTTGAAAACCCCCTAAGAGGTAACATAATAGCAAATTATTCAAGTGAAACAAATCTACAGAATTCCATTATAAAATCCTGTATACTTTCTGCCAACCTAATTGTTAATGACAACTATAAAATGCTAGTATGTAAACGAAATATGGCTTGTATTTCCAAAACTGGAGAGTTTTAGATCAGAATATAGAGAAAGATAAATGTTTGTATTTGTAAATTATGTTCACATCACATTGATATAAAATAGGTTGCTACCAAGATCATTGAGAAAAGCCACTGAATTTATCTGAGCAAGTTTGCTAACTATGCTATGGAAGGAGAAAATGAGACGTCAGTGCTTTTCCTTCCCTTTATATATCAAATTAGCTATTACATGAGGCTCAGAGTCACTGTTCACACCTTTCTCAGTTAATGTCACTTTGCAAAGCCAAAATTTCTGGTAATTAATTGAACATGATAATTTAACTGTATGATAAACTGTGTGATTCTAAAAGTATCTTTTTCTCCAGTGACCTACTTAACAAAAAAAGTACTTATATTCAATACACTATCCATTTTTGAAGACTTTCCTATACTTCTGGTCAATTTTAAATACCTTATTTAGAAATACTGCCAATCCATTTCTAATCGCTAAGTAGAAGAATTTTTTAATCTACACGGTATCTTAAAAACTAATCAACCTGACATAACCTCCTAATTCCAGAAATGTAACATGATTCAAGCTTCAATTTTTCACTTAACATATTGTTTTACTAAAAGCAATTCCCACCTTACAACTATGAACAAGAAAAAAAAAGTACTTAAAATAATATTAAAATACAAGATCTCATTATTTAGTCTAAGATTAACAGACTATAATTCTAATCTTAAAATAGATGCAGCCGGGCGTGGTGGCTCAAGCCCATAATCCCAGCACTTTGGGAGGCCAAGGCGGGTGGATCACGAGGTCAAGAGATCGAGACCATCCTGGTCAACATGGTGAAACCCCGTCTCTACTAAAAATACAAAAAATTAGCTGGGCATGGTGGCACGTGCCTGTAATCCCAGCTATTCAGGAGGCTGAGGCAGGAGAATTGCTTGAGCCCAGGAGGCGGAGGTTGCGGTGAGCCGAGATCGTGCCATTGCACTCCAGCCTGGGTAACAAGAGCGAAACTCCGTCTCAAAAAAAAAAAAAAAAAAAAAAAAATCTATAGATGCAACTTCTCCAACTTGTTAATTCCCAAAGAGATTAATAAAAGATGTAATTAACATCTAAACTTAGAACAGACTATCATTTGGAACAAACTATGTTAACAATAACTGTACCATAGTCAAATAGATCAAGCATACACATCACCCTTTATGGTTCTGAATAAGGTTAATGAGCACAATTTGTCATAAATTTTCCAGTAACTCTGAGAAACTGAACTGAATAAAAAGACTATTTTTTTCTTAACACCTTATATAAATAGGATAAAGGCTGTAGTTATCGTCTTTGGAGGCTTGCACCTAGCACTGTGTCTGGCAGTGTAAACAATAAGCAAATAAGCAACCCAAAGCACTAGAGCCATTCAGCTCTTTATTATGTGCTAAGTATTTAAAATTATACATAATAAAATGGAATATACTCAAACTATCTTTTATTTCTACTATAAACAATGAAAGAATTATTCACTTAAGAATATCTAATTTATCTTAAAGCATCCTCACTTGGAAAAGAAAAATATATATATTTTAATAGAATATAGAGTTGGACTTTTATAAACCAATAATTTAGCTAAAACCAATAATAATTTTCTGCAATTGTATAACATTTTTCATTTGAGCTATTTTTCTTTTATGAAATTAGAAAATATACAGAAACCCAAATACATTTATTTGCAATAAATAACACAAAGACATGTACACTAGACTTGATCTTAACAGTAACACATTTATCTCACAAAGAGGTTATTTTAAAAAATAGCTAGAAATTTGGGGATAAAGGTGAAAAAAGGAGTGAAATAAGTATAAATGTTAATGTTCTTCCACTTCAAAAATTGTCTGACATCAGAGCCAGAAAAGACTTTCTGCGTCTATCAGTGACTCCCTTTTCATGTGTCATAGAAAGAGTTCAACATGCTTTACAAAATCCATTACATTTTAAGACCATTTCCAATATCTGCTATCATAAATCAAGAAATCCATTTATTCAAGGTTACTTATGGAGAATTAATCACACAGAAAATTTTAACAACTGCTTTTTCAAAAATTAAAGTACTTTACTATACTTGGCATTCCTACATATAATGATACAGATTCAAACACTGAAAGCATTAAGGGCATGTAATTAAAACTCATGGACTTAGACATTTTTAAAAAGGTTTACTATGTAGTATTCTCTGTAACTAATATTCCAGAAAAATAAATCACAATATAAACACAATGTAATCTCCTTCGGACATCTCCTCTGCTTAAGTGGCATTATGTAACATAAGAAGTTGTTCCAAAACACTTGTACTTACTTGATACAGCCTCAAAAACATGAAATGAAAAAAAATGAGATGAAAAGAACTATGCACACCATGAATCAGGAACAAAAACCCATAAATTTCTCTATTTGCAATGCTTCTAAAACCTATCTTCCTAATTTGAAAGGCAAATTTACTCAAAAGATAAAAATACACAGGTCAGTTATACAAGATTTTCAGCCTTTATTGAGAGAGTATAGTCATCATGCCAAAATTTATACATCAACATACAACTTTATTTCCCATCTAAAGTTAATGAGAATGTATTTTATTTTAAATGGGACATACAGGCAACATGCCAAGAATTAAAGTACAACTATAAACTTTTAGTTTCTTTTTTTTAATTGCATTTTCGGTTTTGGGGTACATGTGAAGAACATGCAAGATTGTTGCATAGGTACACACATGGCAGCGTGATTTGCTGCCTTCCTCCCCTTCACCTGTATCTGGCAACAAAGCAGTAATTCCTAAAATCATGAAAACATGATAAAGTAACTATACAGAAAAAAATGAACATTTAGGTCATTTCATGCTTTCTTAATGTCATATAGTGAAAACAGATATACCTATAATTTCAGTCTACAGAAAACATACTTCATAAGGTCATTATTCATTTAAAATAGTACAAATGTTTACAAAGAACATTTTACTTAAATTTCACAGTTGCTTATAAAATGGTACTTGCAAGATTGACCTATACAAAGAAATAAGAGTCTCATCAAAAGAGATGGTAAATTAGAAATATAAAATATATCACAATGTTTAAATACTCATAGTGCAAATCAAGAAAGATAACAATCTTTGGAGAGGAAAGTATTCAGCTTTACAAATTTACTGTAAATAGATATATTAATTCAATAAGAAACACATTTAAACTTTGCACTGCCACAGAATTATTTTGTGGGAAAAAAAAGATGTACTTTTCCAATATGCATACATCAAAATCAAAAAATTAACTTTTACTTTTTCCTTTATTGGCAACTTTTGATGCATTTTTTGGTTTTGGTTCCCAGAGAGCATTTTTTACAAATCTTGAAGCTGCACCTCTATCCAGCTTGCCAGCCTTTTTCTTGTCTGTTATTTCCTTGACTCTGTTCATATATACTCTGATTCTCTCCTTAAAGGTAAAAAAGAAAGGCAATAGATTTACTAAGCTGTTCACCACCACTAAGTTGTATTATATTGTACCTCAGTTAAATCCAACATATTGCCTATTGTGTGCATGGTGCTAGCAGTGCAAATGAATAGGATAAACATGCTCCCTGCTTGCCTGAAGTCCATAGTCAGAGGGTGGGGAAAGACAGACGTTAAAAAGTCATTTCAGAATTCTGTTTCCAAAGAGGAAGAATCATACTGACATCACTCCAGAAACAAACATTGAATTGAAACTTTCTAGGTGGTTATATATTTTGTAATCACCATTAACATAAATCTACATATTAATGGTTTTGTATCTAAAGTAAAAAACCTGAGCTCTCATTTACTTGCAAAATACAAACTAAATTATCCTGAAATTTTTCTCAACAGGAAATACATGGTTTTTCACATTACCATCTAGTGTAACAATTAAAATAGGAAGAATGAAAATACAAATTATTCAGTTTTACACGTTTGATTGGTAAGTACGTGAAATTTTCTTTAAAAATACAGTTCTAATCAGACTTTACAAGGTGAGAAACATAGTATGTTGCCATACCACCTTGAATCTTCTGAGACCACGAATCAGCATAAATGGCTATCTTATACTTCAAATGGAGAAGTTGATAAGAGCCATAAAATAGCAGAGTAAAAGACTGATCATTGTTTAAAAATAAGCTTTACACAGAAAATGCATACACAGAAAAATGCACACTTGTAATCTTTTCATTGTGAAAAACTGGCAACTCTGCTCCACAGTCTCTAGCGGCACCTGATTTCTGTCTGAGTAAAAGCACAGTGCTTAACAATGGTGGATACTAGCTGCAGCACACACACATCAACCCTGCCTTGAGGTCTTTGCCCTCCTTATTCCTCTGCCTAGAAGGATATTTCCTAAGTTACCCATACAGCCACTTCCTCTCTTCCTTCTAGTCTACTCGAATGTTAACCTTGTCAATGAGGCTCTGACTTCAGCATTTAAAACTGCAGTCCTTCCCGTCTCTCCTCTCTCCTCTCTCAAAAAAGAAAAAAAAAAATTAAAAAAACAAAAAACAAAAAACACTGCAGTCCTACCCAAGCACTCCAATCCCCCTTACCCTACTCTTTTTCTTTGTTCCCATAACTTTCCAACATACTACATACTCATATATATCTCTTATTTGTTCACTTTATTATGTTTATTGTTTGTCTCCCTCCATTAGATACAGTCTGGTGTCTGCCACAAGGGCAGGGATCAGCTTTATTCACAGAGGAATCATCTCCCTTGGAAATAATGCCTAGTTCCCAGTAAGCACTCAAATATTTGTTGAATAAGTAAACTGACTTTTCCCGTTTGTGATATATACGGCAAAGAGGTTTCCTATCACACACTAACCCTGTGATCAATCAGTAACATCTATACAAGGTCAGAAAAGGGGAATAGGTTTATGCATGCTTTTTATTTACCAACCCTTATCTAGAATATTAATGTACTACTTCATAAAGTGGGTTCTGAAGTAGAAAGAAAACAAATGACCTTGTCCTTTCACCAAAACAGTATCAAGTACTCGAAATAACTTAATGTTAATGGAAAAAAGACAAACTGCATCTGAAGTCCAAATTTGGAAGCTGAAAACAGATGATACAACTCATCATTTTTAAGGTTTAAAGCCATATTATTGGTCAAACCAAGATCTGCGTATCATATTGCTTTATACTTTTGCTTTAAATATCTTTCACAATTGTTTTATTTAAAAATAAATTTATTTCCCCCACAACCAAGAACTTCAAAAGAAGGAAATGCCTTAGACTACATGTTTAAAAAATGAAGACAACAGATCTGGCTTACTCATTTTTAAAAAATAAATGACAAGTGCTTTACTAAGTTGTAAATAACATACACATCAACTACCCTAAGACTTGAGAACAAGAATACAATGTCAAGTGTATTTCATATCTATATTTGCCTTATATTTTATAAACACAAAGAATCAATTTATTAATATTCTTATTCATAAAGCCAAGTCAAGAAGGTAACCCTAAGTTTGATTTCTAATTTTTCCCTTCAAATTGAATGATTTAATTTTTGAAGTCAGCAAAAACTCCAAGATACCAGACCTTATATACTGTACTTATATATCTAAATGGAATACAAAGACAAACCTAGAAGATTTATTACAGGTTGTAAATATGTCACTAATGCAGAATTACTGGACAGTACACATACAACTGGTGCCAAAAAAGCTTTTAGCTTTGTTGCTGAACTGGATTCTTTACTGCTGAGAAAATGAATTAATGGAGGAATTGAAAAGGTAGGGGGAGAAACTTTCCCGTCTTTGCTAGTAAATCAACTAGAATATACTTTTAAGAACTGTATAGAAGATTTTTTTTTAAAAAAAAAAGTAGTTCTAGAGATAAACAGGATTTCAAGAATTTATAGGAAGAATAATATATAAGTTATAAATAATTACTAGAATCATAACATTTTCCTATTCAGAGATTTATATAATATATGGAATACCAATTATCTGAAAAAGGTAAGAGAAAAAAAAACAAAGATGATAAAGTCTGGATCACTTTCATAATTTCAACTCAAATGCTGTTCTCCCTATTCGTGTGACAAAGGTAGTGTGACAAACTTCAGGAATACAACAAACACATAAAATAAAAAGAAATTAAAATCTTACCAATTCCTGCTTTACTGGATGCTCCTTAGGATTAACTCCTTGAGTTGCCAAATAAACTACAAGAGAAAGAATTCATGGAATAAAATGGTGTATGTATTAATTTAAAACATTCCAATTAAATAAACTAGTTATTCACAAATAAAGAAATTCCTACAAACAATTAAACTTTAAATTATTCAATCTCCATGTAATATTAAATCTATGTGTGGCTCACTGGCATCTAGATTTAAAAATAAATATCTATTAAAAATGTTATGAAGTATAATTGCATATAAATTGTTAGCATTTTAAAAAATAAATCCCCTTTCACACAATAAGTAATTTGCTTTCTAATTAATTCCAAAGTAACACACATACCCCAAAACATTGAATTTAATGTGTATGCAGAAACCAAATCCACTTTTGCTTGTTCAAGTGGGTCCAACTGTTAAAAAAGAAAGTGAGAAAAAAAAAATACATTAATTTTGAACACCATCTGATAACATTTTAAACTTTTATCAAGTACAACGTAACAAAAAAAATGTTTCACTTCATATAATCCAATAACCAAATGATCTGAAAATAATTTATAAAAAGAAGTTGTTCTGTTAATGAGTGACTTTTGTCCACAAATCTTCTCTTGAGGGTATCATCTTTAGTTAGACAAGGAAAGTGTATAACCCAAGAAAAATTCTTTTGAATTATTTTAATTTCAGGAGTTATGATCTGGGCTTTGTATGTCAAAAGTAACTTATCAATATAAACACTGTACATGATACATTTATGTATAAGAAGCAGCCTAAAATGCTTAGGCAATACCAAAGACAGAAGAAATATAATGAGATTTGTTTTACACTGTCAAAGTCAATTTACTGTTTTTGTCTTACAGGGTTTCCAGAAACCCTGATAACATCATTGTAATGCTTAAAAGGTCAAAGATAGAGTCTGTCAAAAAGAATACTGTGAGTGCTCCTTTTTTTCCAAAACCAAGTTAAAAACATAGGAAGTATTTCTTAAGTCTGGAGTTTTGTTTTTTTCACCCCTAAAAATATCCAAACAGTAATAAAATTGAGATAAAAGGGAAAAGGGACATATGTCATTAATGTGTTTCTTCCACGTTTCACAAAATAGCATTTTGTTTTATGAAATTCATTTTTAGGAAATTATATTTTTAAAATACCTTCTGTAACAACTCATTTCTAGAAACAGACATCATGGTCTTCAGCATCTCATCCACAGCACCAATGGAATTCTCAAACGCTGACAAATACTCATGAATTTCTACTGGATAGTCTTCATTAATTTCTTCACCTGCCATTATGGCTAACTGGAAAAAATTAAATTCTTTGAATTTGTATTAGAGAGAGAGCTTGTTCTTTAGTTTACAAAACAATCTAGTTAAAACCTAAACAAATCTTTTTAGAATTTAATTCTATATTAACTACATTCCAATTTGTCTCCTTCTTAAGTTTCTTGGTAGGCTGTGGAAGAAGAACCAGCCAAAGTCCACTAATGCTATGCACACCAAACCCTCAACATTTTTGTTTTGTTTTGTTTTGTTTTGAAATGAGGTCTCCCTCTGTCACCCAAGATGGTGCAACCACCACTCACTGCAACTTCCGCCTCCTGGGCCCAAGGGATCCTTCCAGCTTAGCCTGCCAGATAGCTGCGATTACAGGCCCATGTTACTACACTCAGCTAATTTTTTTGTTTATTGTATTTTTAAAAAACTTTTAAAGAACTAAAGACATGATTACCAAACATGTGATAGCAATAATCAAAATCCTGCACTTTAAAAACTCTCTGTTGAATTAGCAAAGCAATGAAAGTTTGATAAATATATCCCCTAGTGATTGCTGAAGAAATGGTAAGCAAAGCACTTTTATATATATATATACACACACACACACACACACACACATATTAGCCCTTCTAAATATAGGTGTTGATCTAGGAGCATGTTATATTAAACTAAAAAAGTAAAAATCTTAGGTCTAAGATATCTTATGTATTACAGAAATCATTTTTCAAGTCTATATATATTCAGATTCCTTAAGCTTCTTTAAAATATTAATAAGAAATCCAAAGAGTCCATAAATCATATAAAGCCCATAAGCAGAAAAGAGGAAATATGGGGGAAATAAACAATACGGTTTTCATTTGTGCTAGTGCATACTCTGACAGCCCATACTTTAAAAATTCATATCTGTATCATAATAATTAATACCTACGTGAGAAAAAGCAAATCTGTATCAATGTATTATTAAAATATCTAAGACCAAATTTTACAAGCAATTCCAAGCCACAGGTAACATCTTTAAATTTTAAAAAATTTTTGTATTAACAGAAATACCTCCTTTATCACACAGGTAAGGAGAAGAGCATGAATGTGTATGACAGCAAATAGCATAGCCGAATGGAAGTAAAGAAACTTGGGCTGTCTTGATCATTGACTTTGCCACCTGAGATAAATCACTGAATCTCTCTGGGACTCAAATTCCTCATCCATAAAATAAGGCAGTTGGTCTAATGACCTGTAAAGTCCCTTACAGTTCTAAATGTTATGATTATGTCTTTTAAGTTTGAAAAGTACTATTTCAATGTTTAGTGACAACATATCAACATTTCTTCTGAATGAGTATATTCCACTGAGACATCTGGTTTCATTAAATAAAAAAAAAACAAAGTCACACCTATCTATTACTACTTGAGTTGTTAAGTTACTATCCAACTACTGTGCAACCAGCAATTAAACAAGATCTTAATAAAAGAAAACTACACAGAAAAGAACTGACTTCCAATTTCAAAAGGTTAACTAAAACTATGCATTTGCCCCACATCCTCCCAAAAAATCCCTACAATATGACAGAAGAAATATGAAAATAAAAATGCTGGAAACCAAGAAAATCACAGATCTGCCAGCAGGTTTCAATAGCAGAAATTGTGTAAGCTAAAAAGCAAATTGGGCCAGGCACAATGGCTCATGCCTATAACCCCAGCGCTTTGGGAAGCTGAGGCAGGCGGATCCAGAATTCGAGGCCAGCCTGGCCAATAAGGTGGAAACACCGGCTCTACTAAAAACACAAAACTTAGCCACGTGTGGTGGTGCACACCTGTAATCCCAGCTACTTGGGAGGCTGAGGCAGGAAAATCTGAACCTGGGAGGCAGAGGTTGCAGTAAGCCAAGATTGTGCCACTGCACTTCAGCCTGGTCAACACTTTAGTGTTAGACTATGTCTCTAAAAAAAAAAAAAGAAAAAAGAGCCAATGGGATCAGACTGGAAAGAGGAAACAAAGCCAAGAAACCTTACCAAAAAAAAAAAAAAATGAGAATTTAAGAATAACCCCAAGAACAAGATCCATGAGGGCTGAAAACAGCTAACCTAATCTCCAGATCAGTGAAAGGAGCACTCCAGCATTTACTGCCTAGATTAAGGTTTAAGTATAGGGATATATTGCAAAGAAGACTTAGTATTTCCTCACTTTGTGTAGAATTTTGGACCAATAAATTTGAAAATGTAAATGAAAAAAAATGACTTTCTTGGGAAGATATCAATTACCAAAACTAAAAAGAAGTACATAAACTATACAGATCATTAACCACAGAAAAAGAATTACACAGTAGTCAAAGACCTACCCTCAAAGTGGCTCTAGTCCTAGAAGATTTTATAGATAATTTCTTTCAAACCTTCAAGAAACAGTTAACTCCTATGGTATTTAGCTGTTTAAGAATATAGAAAAAGATGGAAAACTTAGATACCTATTTCATAAAATACAGAAAAATAAACTATATCAAATATTTATATTATCTAAATGAAACCCAAATGCTGTAAAAGGAAATGGCTGACAAACTTAACTACATAAAAACTTTTTTGAAAAGTCCTACATGGTAAAAGGATACCCCAAGCAAAGTTAAAAGGAAAGAGACAGCCTGGAGAAAATATTTGACAAAATATCATAAAGAATTAGAAAGATTAAATAAACAGTTCCTAGAAAGCAATAAAGCAAACTAAAATAATGAAGATATCATCACCTATCAGATTGACAATAATTTTAAAGATTAAGAATGTTCAATGTTAGAAAGGGTATACAGTGAAAGTGGAATATAAATTGGTACAGGTTTTTAAAATGCATATACCCTTTGACTCAGGAAATCCTTTTAAGAATCCAGCCTATAAAAATCCTTGCACATATGCATATAAATTAAAATGTCCTCCTCAAACTTGTATCTGAACTTCCTCCAGTTTATCTTGCATCAAACTGTCCCTCTGCTGGACAATTACCCATACATTTAAATGTTTTATTTCTCCGTCTAAGAATGAATCCTGCCCCTCTCAAAAAAAAAAAAAAAAAAATCTTGACTTCCTATCACCCATCAGCTAAGGCCCCATTTTCTCTCTTTTACGACAAACTCTTCAGAAGAGGTGCTTATACTGTCTCTAACTCCTCTCTTTCCATTCTTTCTCAAATCTCCTACAATCAGATGATCTTACTTTCCCTCAAAATTGCACTTGGCAGGGTCACCCACACTGCCACATGGTTAAATTCAATGGTCAATTCTAAGTTCTCCTTGAGTGACACCGTTAACTCTCTCCTCTTGGTTTTCTTGGTTTCCTTTCTATCTCACTGGCTCCTTTTCTCAATCTCTTCAATGCTTCCTTCTCAGATCCTTAGCCCCTTAACCTTGAAGTGCCCAAGGGCTGTCCCTCTCTTCTCTTATCCAATTTACTCCTAGGTAAGTTGAGGGTTTTAAATTGCATTAGTAAACTAAAGACTCCAACGTTTGTTTCTCCAGCCCTGTCCTCTTCACTGAACTTCGTATCTACATTTCCAGCTGCATACTCAGTATCTCTGGTTGGATGTCTAATAAATTCTCAAACAGTACCTACCCAAAGCCAAATTCCTAATCATGTCTACTACAGTTTTCATCATTTTATTTTATGGCAACTCCAATTTTCCAATTGTTCAGTCCCCAAATTTCAGAGTGATCCTTGACTACTCTCTCATACTTCATCTTTAATATGCATCCAGAATCTAACTATGTCCTACCACCTCTACTGCTAACTACCCTGGTCCAAACCACCATCAAACCATGCCTGAATATATACAGCCTTCTTGCTTCTGGCCAAAGTCTATTATCAAGAATACAGAGAGACCATTCAAAATGTAAATCAGATTATGCCACGCTTCTGCTCAGAAACTTCCAAAGGCCTGCCACCTCATTCTAAATAAGGCAAAAATCCTTAACAGTGGGCCTGGCATGGTGGCTCATGCCTATAAACCCAGCACTTTGGGAAGCCAAGGCAGGAGGATTGCTTGAGTCCAGGAGTTCGAGATCAACCTAAGCAACATGGCAAGACCCCATATCTATAATTAAAATATATATTTATAGGCCAGGTGCGGTGGCTTGTGCCTGTTATCCCAGCACTTTGGGAGGTCAAGGTGGAAGGATTGAGCCTAGGAGTACAAGATCAGCTTGGACAAAACAGAGAGACCCCATCTCTATTTTTAAAATAAAATTAAATTAGCATTTATCGTTTAAAAATCCTTACAGTGGGTTCAAGAAGCTCAACACAATTTACCCTGACTCTCCATCACCTTCTGTGACTTCATCTCCCACTCTCCCTTGCTCATTTCACTCTAGCCACAACCGCCTCATTGTTCTTCCCCTATGACATCAGGCACATGCCTACCTCCCTTTGGACTTCTCTCCTTCCCAAAATGCTCTATTCCCCTCTTCCTCCCCTACCAACACCTTCAGAGCTCATGATGCTACCTTCACCAGATCTCCGCTGAAATGTTACCTATTGGTAACTCTCACCTAACCACCCCATTTTAAAATGCACACCTCTCCCCCTCACTCCCTGTCTCCTTCCCCACTTTACATTCCTCAATATTGACATATTATTTATTTGGTACTGGTCTACCTCCAAAAGGCAACTACATGAGAGCAGAAATTTTTGTGATTTGTTTACAAGCACTGCCTGACAGTCAATAAACATTTGTTGAAATAACCTGTAACAAAATATTGGAAATAATCTAAATATTCATCAACAGGGAAACAGCTAAATGAATTACAGCATATCTATCCTTGAGAATATTACATGTCTCTTAAAAATAAAGAAGTAAATCTACAGTAACACACAATGAGAATGAAAGAGTCAGAGAAGAGAGAACATTGTAAATAACACATTATGAGCCTAACATATGCCATTTGGTTTTAAAAAAACAACTGTATATAAATACATGGAGAAAACAGTCGGGAAGGGGCATACAAAAAATAGACATCTTCCGTGAAAAGAGACAAGGATTAGGGAATCAAAACAA